ACCACAGGAACATACCCGCAAGCATGTTGAGGCACAGCGACAGCAAAGGGCCTAGGGCACTTCGGAACAACATGAGACATGTTTGTTGAAAGCTAGAGAGGAAAGTAGCAACAAGAGGGCCATCGAAGCGGATGAAAAGATTCAAAAGAGGAAACTTTGGCTGCAACGCAAGCAGGACGCCAAACAAACGAGGACGTCTTGCGATAGTGGAGAAGAGATGCACCTTCGAGTACAACGAGATTGAGACTTAGAGCAGGTGAGGACGCCTCGTAAGACTGAACAGGGTCAAAATCAGATAGAATGCAGTCGAGAAACAAGCAGGAGAGTATCTCTTAAAATTGAAGACGGACAACTTCGGCTACAGCACAATAGAGACCAGGAGTGGCCATGCTGCGGCTCTTTGTGTGTTAAAGTGCGGCTTGTGGTCCACTTTCATAGAGCGTATCTACCCACCGGATCTGTGTAACAGAATAGCAAGCAGTTTAAAAAAAAATGTCTATACAAATAGTCCTGGCCAGCCATGATGAATGGACACAATTACTCATGAGGCGAGCAAAATGCAAGATATTCCTTAGCCTAACCGTGCAATTTTACCCACAATTACTGCCAACTGGTAAAAAGTGAAGTATGATGCCGATTTGAAAAAGGGACACAAAAGACGAACTTAAGGCCACCGGTTCTGAACAAAGTCTAAGAATGAGGTAAGAAAAACAGTTTAAAGGCGCACATATACCTTGAACCTTGAGTCCAATATCAAAGGGATGACCACGTGCTTCTTTCTTCAAAGCAGCAACCAGCTCACCTCGTGTCTCTGTAAGACAAAACATGCACATTGATCTACATCTCAAAGTCGTGTTTGTCCCTCTCCCGCCCCCCCCCCCCCCCCCGCCACTTGTATCGAAGTTTATAAATATGACCATTCACCAGCTTGCCTGCGCTATAACCCTTGTTTCAACAAAGTCTTTTCTTCCATATTTTTACAAATTAAATGCACCACCTAGTCGAACTTATGTGGTGAAGTTGTCGTAGCTTACAGAGCCGATTTGTTGTGATTTATTTTAAATGTCGTGGCTGCCATCTGGAACGCCCTGTAGTTCAACAACGTAAAACCCTTTGCTTTTGCCGCCCAGTTCTTTACAAATCCGGCGCAAGGACATATTCGTGCTCACCACATTTCGCGAATTCTAGACGCCGGAACGGGGGCGCCGGAACGGGTGCCCAACAAATTTTCGCTTTCCACGTGTCCTTCGATTTCGCTAATATTTGGACGTGTAGAATTTGCGAAAAATTAGGGGCTCGCGAACGTTAGGGAGTTTTCCTAGACCGCGTTTCCCCCTCCGCTAATCTTTCCGCAACGAAGAAGTTACTAGGGAGTTTTAGTAGATCGTTTTCGAAGGCCCGCTACCGCTAGGAGCGCGCGCTTCAGAGCATGCATCGAAGTGGCAGCGCGAGCTTCCGCTACGATTAGCGTCGCCTGAAAACACGATCTACTAAAACTCTATTACTGCGCCTGCACGCCGATAGCCTTGACTGTAGAGTTCCAGGTCTGGGGCTCTATGGCACCAGAAACCGAAAACGGGCTAAAATGGGCTCCATTTTCCCATTGAAATTTTCAGAAAATCATTTATAACTTTTGATTAAGTTATCGGATCAGGCTGAAACTTTGGCATCTGGTTGTGACCTCTAGCTCTACCTTTGGGCGGAAAATGAGCGTTCGGGGTTGCCTAGTTTATTTTTGCGGTAAAAAAGACCGTGTAAATTTTCATTTGTAACACCCTGTACATATCGACACCGATACACACCGATCGAGATAGTCCTAACGTCAATGCGGCTTTGGTTCAGAACATTGGCCAGCTGGCCAGCGGCGCGGGTACATAAGGATTGCATTGAAGAAATAATCTGCCTTAGTTTATATTAGTACTATAATTACTCAAAAAAGTTTTAAAACATTTAAAAGCGTAAAAACTTGCCATGTTAAGTTTATTTCTTGTTAAGAAAAACATTGCTTGTCCGTCGTTGGTGGTGTTTCTGCACTCTGGCTTGCAGCTACGAAATCCAATCCAATCCGATGTCAATAAACCGAAACCGAGACTACCGCGGTACAGGGCTCAAAGCAATGAAGCAAAATTTTGTTTATCCCCGCCTCGCTTCACATGGATTTGGTTTTCCCATTTTTTTACTTTAGATATGCATGTCTTATAATGGTTGAGTTTTATAGCTGAAACTGTTAAATTGAAATGGCCTGTATGCTTTTCTGATTAAAATTCGTTATTGAAAAAAAATATCACAGTTTGGTTTCGCGGTGCGCGCGTTCCCGTCGAGGTCTGATAATTTCTGGTCGCGTTAAATAGACCAATCTCACCGGCCAGTTTGACTACGCCACCACTGCCGCAATGCAGCGAGGGAACTTTAGTCTTTGGGCACGTGCGACAACCTCGCTGGAGCTCTTCGCGTGTAGAGCACGAGAAGGCACGAGCCCTCGCGTGCACGGCCGCCTGCCTCCTGTGAACTAAAGTTATGGCGGCTTTACGCATGCGCCCAGCGCTTAGTGAGATCAGTCTATTTTGTATACCGGTAGAGCCCGTACAAGGTTACCGACCGCCGTTTAAAGTGCCGGCGCCGGTAATGCGTTACCGGTCGCTACGATTCGTGGTTGCTGTTAACCGCGCATCGATTACTGGCCACCAGTACGTTATTACGGCCCACCACTGTGGCGTACCGGCTTCGCCTGTCCGTGTTCACTCGCCGCCTGTACATGATATGGGCAACCGATACGGCGTATCGGCTTCGCCGGTACGTGGTTACCGGCTACCGGTGTGGCCTACCGGCGGTGGCCGTACGTGTTTACCGGCCGACTGTACATGGTATGGGCAGCCGGTACGGCGTATCCGCTTCGCCAGTACGTGGTTACAGGTCGCCGGTACAGAGCTACCGGTTACCGATATGAGAATACAGGACTCCGGTGTGAACCGGTATAGACCGGTATACATTTGTACAGGTTTTTTCAGTAGGGCATGCCAACACTTTGGCGACATGGAGCCCCCACCTTCGTAAACTTGGCCCCTGTAGAGCCGAGGTGGGGCACATGGAGTTTTTGGATAGGCAGCCCACTCGGGATCGCCCAAGCTTAGCCGCAGTGAAACCCACATCATTATCTTGGGCCCCCGTAAAGCCAAGGTGCGTGAAACGAGGGTCTTAAATGGCAGCCCAAGTTGGGCATGCCAACGCTTTGGCGCCATGGAGCCCCCACCTTCGTAAACTTGGCCTCTGTAGAGCCGAGGTGGGGCAAATGGAGTTTATAGATAGGCAGCCCACTCGGGAGCGCCCAAGCTTAGCCAACGTGGAGCTAAAATCATTATCTTTGGCCCCAGTTAAAGTCCTCCCGGTGGGTGTGGGAGGCAGGTTCCGCTCCGATGGTCTGGAGCGTGGTGGCGCGAAAGTCGCTGAGTGACGGGTCGACTCACTGCTTGTAGAGTACTATGTGCATTTATTTACACTCTAGTTACAAGTCCCAACTTGGGAAACCATCCTGCCTCGTCTAAAGTCTCGACCCCCGTCCCCAATTTCTCTCCATCAAATCCAAAGTCCGAATCTCTCAAAATCCTCTCCGGGCTCTTTTTGTAGGTCCGTAGGGGCCTCCTTTCCCCTCAGGAACCGACCAATCTCTTCAAATTCCGCCACTCACACGTGGTACACTGTTCTCCAATGGTCGGCGAGCTGTCATCCTGGCGCCCTAACGGTCAAACTTAAATTCCTCGTAGAGTTGTTTTCTGCAATTTTCCCAGCCTGACTGGCGCCAACCGCTAAATTATTGGATCGGGCAAAAAGGACAATTTTACACTAAGCGTCAAAACCCTCTGCATACACGCACATTCGGTTATAAGCCACAAGCATCTTCCAGCGCGGGCTCTTTCGGTCCCGGTCCGAGCAGACTTCCGAAACCCGAGACGCTTCTTAACGACCGGCGGGGGACCGCTCCCGCGTCGCGGCCGCTCTGGCCCCGCCGACCCAAACGTAGAAAGCTAAAAAAACACAATGCCGACGCAACTCTGGAAAGATAAACTTTCCTAACCAAAAGAAAACACCTTAATTAATAAGCATGACTCCTAAATACTTAACTACCCCCGTAAAGCCGAGTTTTGACCCACGAGGGTTTTAAATGGCAGCCCAACTTGGGCATGCCCACGCCTCGGTGCCATGGAGCCCCCACCTTCGTAAACTTGGCGCCTGTAAATCCGAGGTGGGGCATATGGAGTTTTTAGATAGGCAGCCTACTCGGGAGCACCCAAGCTTAGCCACGGTGGAATTAAAATCATTATCCGTGGCCCCCGCCCATACAAAAATATCCTATGGTCGGCTATAGAAAATCCTTTCTATGGTCGGCTATAGAAAATTGGCCCAATCGGCTTTAGCTTTTTCTATGGCTGTCTTTAGCTTTTTCTATGGTCTTGCCTATGGGCGTCTTTAGCTTTTCCTATGGCTTTATCACTGGTTGGCTATAAAAGTCTTTAGCTTTTTCTATGGCTAGCTAAAGAATTTTTCTATGGCTTTCTTTAGCCGGTGCGCTATAGACGTCTATAGGGATTCCTTTGGTTTCTTTAGCCAGCAGGCTATAGATTTTTCTTTGGCTTCTTTAGCCAGCAGGCTATAGCTGTCTATAGATTTTCCTTTGGTTTCTTTAGCCAGCAGACTATAGATTTTCCTTTGGTTGCTTTAGCCGTCTATTGCTTTTTGTATGGTCTTCTAAAGAATCTTTTATGGCTCACTGTACGGCTCTCTTTAGCCACCAAGCTATAGCTGCCTGTGGATTTTTCTTTGGTTTCTTTAACCATGTACAGTTTGTGTATGGTCTTGTATGGCTCATCCTAAGGTTCTCTTAGCTGGCTGCCCCTTTTCCTTAGGCTTTGGTATTCCAAACCCGTTTTGAAAACCTGTGCTGGTTCGCCTCTCTATGGTACGCTATATATGAAACGTCCAGGTAACAAAAACAAACACAAAAGTAATATTTTTGTCACCTTTATTCGAAGGACTGTAGGATAAAAAAAGACTTATTCACAAGGTTTTTCCTTGTTTGCCTCCTTGTTTAGCAACGAGGACAAGGACGTCCTCACTGGCCCTTCTTTGAGAAGCTTGAACTTCTTGCAGGTGTAACCTGCAAACGCAGACATGAAGATATCAAAAATACTTGCATCTCAGAAACACATTTACCTGTGAGCATAGATTTTAAAAGATTGGAAAATGCTCTATTTAACAGTTGACAATTTAGTTATGGGCTCGGTCAGTGACGTATGGAGGCTCTTTTCCGTCTCATAAAATCAGTCCCACAAGTGGTTTAACCATATGATAGTTTTACGGCCAGGAATTTTGATAGTATCTTTCAAGTGCTGTCTAAAAATAAATGTTACTAGTTACTAAAAATAGAAATAGAATAAAAGAAAGCATTTGAAACTATCCAGAAAAAAAAGTATTCAAGCACTATTTATTGGTGTTGCAGACTACTAGACTAGAACATGGCTGTTCAGATAGACACACAAATTTGTTAAGCAAGTGTGCTGTCTGCCAGTTTTAAAGATCATCACTGGCATCTTATTTGCTAAGTGACGGAGGTGAAGCCACGTGCAGCATATGTCATTTCACAAAGACTGAGCACACTCCTTCCTTCCCCCCCCCCCCCCCGAATTTTGGTTACTTAAAATGGCATTTCAAGACCAACCACTGCACAGCACATCTGACATAAACATGACATCAGCACTTTTTTAACTCACACAAGCCAGTGCCAGTGAATGTTTGTTGTAAAGGTCAAACCTTTACAAAATCTCCACAATATGCATGTTATTTTGTACCATATTTACAGAAAACTATTCTACACTTACCTCAGTCATACTATAGTCAGTTACAGGTTAAGAAAAGTTTTAGAGGGAAAGGAGGGCAGGGGAAAAGGAAGCGAACAAAATGCTTGGGGGGAGGAGGAAACCTCCTCCTCTCTTCTGTTTGCTTCCTCCTCCCCAGCCAGAGAACTTTTAACCAGTCACTGACTATAGAGCAGTGCTCAATTTGAAAGAGCTGATAATCTCTAAATAAATGATCATGGCATTATCAAACAGTTCACCTAGTAAAACAGAGCATACTAGATGAAAATGAGTGAGGCTAACTTCCAGTGTATAAAAGATAATTCAATTTTAGCCATAAAAAATATGCCAGAAATTAGGATGAGCTATTGTTTGGGGATGGGTCATCTCTTCGGATAATACAGTAGTGAAGGTTTTTGAAACTGTGTGGTCAGAAGTATGCAATGCACTTGAAAGTAATTTCTAAACATGAGGCAATGCTACGCCTAAATACATGTCCAGTCAGCCTACCGTAAAGTACAGATCATGTCCTATACCCCCCCCCCCCCCCCCACTTTCCCACCCAAAAAAAGAATTACTCCACAGAAAATCTAAATTAAACGAAAATATGGCTGGGGCTCAATCAAAAGCAGAACCATAGTTCAAGATCATAATAGGAAGAGGATGCTTAGACAATAGGGGTGCATGCTTGGTTGCTGCAAGGTCAGGTGGGACCTGGTTGGCACAAACTAACAGAGCCAGGATTTAGACAGCTGGCAATATCTAAAAGTAAATGCAGGTTTTCCATACATGTAGTGCTCAAGTGGACCCTCAAGAAAACAGTCAAAGCTGTTTCATTTAGCAGAAGTAGCAGTCATGAGAAGACAAAAATCAAGAAATCACCTTTGCAGTGTTCAATGTATGCAGGAGATTTCAATTGAGTATACTGTTCTCGATTCAACCTCAAGATTTATTCAAGCCAAAATTTTCAAACTTATTTTGCTGAATGCATTCTCTCACTTTCTATAACAGAACTTGCAGATATTCATACTCACTTATCACAGCATTTACCCGGACTGGGTCAAGCTGTGGCTTGGCCGGCTTGTCCTTGTGTGCGTTGGACTGCTTGCCCGTGATTGATTTTCCGACAAGCTCTTCCGAGCTGAAGACCAACCTTAGAAGCTCCCGGGCATAAACTGTTGGTGATTTTGTGGGACCCATGTCTAGAAGGAGCAGCAAAGCCCTGCTGACCTTGATGCCCCCCAAATCTTCTTCGTCTTCGTTGCCCTGTAAGTAATCAGAGTGAATTCCATCGCTCAAGGTCTGATATGTTGATAAAAAGCACCTATTAAAGCTAATTCTAACTTCAACATCATTGTCCCTTCGACCACTTCCATAAATCCCGGCATGCAACAATCCATACAGTGCAATCAGGAAACTTGCTGTCCAAAGAACGAGTGGCATGGCATTGATCGACCCGTCCAGAAAAATGTTGCAAGATCGTGTGCAAAGCGTGGACTAAGCGAAGCATTATTTCACGTTCCTTCATCCTGGGCAGACCATGTTTTACCTCTGAAATTGCATGAATGGCTAGATCTCCACACTCCAGTGCAATCCTACACCATACACTGGAGATGCTTTATTACTGCGTTAGCATTAATACCCACATGACAGGAAAAAGCTGATGGCGTTCGTCTGTAGACAAAACAGAGGAAAGGAAAGAGCACCGCATAGGGAGGAGAAGAGTAGTGAAGGACAAAGGCGAGAGGGAGGCGTCGTCACAAGGCGGAAGATGCTGGGGCGAGTCTGAAGTTGCAGGTGTGCGGAGCGCGTATGCCTTGCTTTGTGCTACAAAATGGAGGGTGAACCAAGTACTAGTGCTGGTCCAAGTGGACAGCAAAAGAAAATAAAGGAAGATCCATTGCCGGATCCTTAGGTGTTAGCATGACCCTTGGGAAACGCCACACACATCCCCTTTTGGGAAATGCTAATGCTGGCCCCATAATGAAGCCAAAAAGGTGCAGCAAAAAATAAAGGAAGCAAAAGTGAAAGCCAATACAGAAAAGTGAAGGGGACAGCCTTAGCGTCTCCCAAGGGTCATGCTAATGCATTCTCTAAGAATCCACCAAAGGATTTTAAAATTTTTTTTTTCTACTTTACCATTTTTGTTAGCATTTGAAAGTATTTGGTTGAGCAGGTGGTGCTCAGAATCTATAGTCAGTTGCAACCTAAGAACAAAGGGCGAGGATAAGATGGGCCGGGGAGGAGGAAGCAGACGGAACGCTGGAGAAGAGAGAGGGAAACCTCCTTCTCTCCTTTGCGCTCTGTCTGCTTCCTCCTCCCCAGCCCGTCTTACCCTCGCCCTTTGTTCTTAAGTTGCAACGGACTATAGACGTTGCGAAGCTCGGGATCTTTCTTGCACACAAGCTGGCATTTGCTGCGACAACAACCATGTATAAATGCGGAGCTCGCTCGGCATTCATACAAACCTGGATAAGAGACTGTAAAATGTAGCAAATATACTTTTTCCTTTAAAATTAAAATTGGGGGGGGGGGGGGGGTACATTCCCAACAAAACTGATGGACACTTCACCATTTCCATCAGTTTCGTTGAGAATGTCTACACTGAACTTCGTAAACTGACCTGCCAAAAAAAATTGCTTTCCCACCACTTCAAAACAAGTAATTAACATGGCACAACAGAAGTACATTTGGAGAAAATATTCAGAGAAGCCGTTCAAAACGAAACCCATTTTGAAACAGTAGCTCTTTCCTGTGCCAGGGGGAGCGGGAGCAAGGGAGGAGGCAAACAGGTGTGTCACAGTGCCTCACGCACCACATTTTACAGTTTTTGCAAGGGGTCCATTATCAATAACATTTCTGCACCAAATATTCAAGAACTTTCACATACCTCTGCCTGGGCTCCAGGGTTTTCAGGCGCTCTCTGCACCCGAGCGTCCTCCATCTCTTCACGAAGGTTCTTTAGGTCCTGGACCGCAATCGTCAGTTCTGGGACATCAGAAAATAAATAAATCATACACAAATAAAAGGCAATAGCAGCATATTACAGAAATGCTGGTACTTGCAACACAATGCTGTTTGCACTTAAGTGCCTTGCTTTAATACAAGTTATGTATTATCTGTATGAAATTTCACGACAGACATTGAAACGAAAGTGACACCATCAAACTACTGTAAAATCCCGAGATAGCCTACCTAACATGAAGAGAAAATCGGGTGAAAACATGGTGTGGGCTAACTTTTGGTGTGCAATGAAGAAAAGTATAAAAAATTGCTATTTTTAGGTCGTGTCCCTTCCAAGCTTGTTACGGTGGCGAGGGGCAACAAAGCAAAGGTGACTGTACTCCCCAGTCAGCAATGTTTGCTTATATCCCGCCATAGCTAACTAGCCGCATTTACGCTGCGGCCATCATTGATCCCAACACTACTATTACTAGGAGTGGGCTATGTTTCGGTGTTTAAAAAGAAAATAGCAAATCAAACCAAAAATAGGGATGGGCTATCTTTCGAGGGTGGGGCATCTCTCAGGACTTTACGGTATATGGCCGTTTCATGGAATGCTGGATAAATAATTCCTATGAAAACTATGTGGCACACAAAGAAATGTTAGTGTCTCATTGGTCACTCCCAAAAGGTCCATTTAGGAAAATTAATAATATCCAGCTAAGTTAATTGTTAACTAATATATAGCAATTTTAATTATTATGCTTAAAGATGTGGTTTCAATCAATAAGTGGCTGACTGTCCCATTTTAGAAAGATGTAAGCCATGGGCTGCATTTAATGGCATTCCAAAGTGCAAATTGGCTTGGACATCTGTTTTTATTTCCTATCAAAGCTCATCTTTGCGGCAGCAGTACTGCTCCCCGTGGCCTGCTCTGTCGTGTTTCCAGAATTTTTGCAATAAGCACACCACCTATGAGTGACCGCACAAGTGAGCAGATGTAAAATGACATTGCATGCCCAATTTCAAGTATGCACGTTTGGAATTCGAATTTTGTAAGGTGCACAAGATGCAATGGTTTTTAAAAGGGAACTATGACAATGTTTTAGCTATCCAGACAGCTGCTTTTTCTGAATACTTGTGCTTCACTCTTTGCAGCAAATTATATATTATCTCAAGCGAAGTATATATCATCTCAAAATCAATATTAGTTATTAAGAAAAGTGCAATGCCAAAACCAACTTTAAATTTTACCGCACTTTCCAATGGCATGACGTCACAGGCAGAGAGTGTCATCTTTGTATGCTGGAGAAAGCGTCGTCTTCGGCATTAATTTCACACCACCAAACTTCTTGGTACCCAGCTGGAAACAAATTCCACAGCCCAAACTGTGACACTGTTTCCATAGCCAACGTCATTTTTTTAATGTAGTCAGTAGAGATTTTCAGTCTGAAAAATGGGTGACGACCACATTAGGAGATTCAATGACACTGCAACAAAGTGGCATTTTGACATAAAATTTGGGTTACTAATTCAGCTGTGTTCAACATTATATTCGGTCTACAAATTCAGCTGTGTCTATTGATGTCCTGAGCCGAGTTCGAAGCACATCTGTGAATATGAAAAATTTGCGGAGTTCTTTAAAGGCATCATGGAACAATATCGGGTTGGAATGTTCATGACGTTGCAGAGGCATACTGGTCCTAGTCTGGCCCAAGTATACTCGTACAAACTGCCACTCATTCGAAAGCTTCTTTGTTGTGGTGAAATTGCAAAGATAGAAGAAGACTATTTCTTTCAGTCTTGCCTTTGCAAAGCTTGACATGTAATTGTAGGAGCAAAATCACCATTCTGACGACAGTCGAGTGCGGCTTATAGATTGGAACGAGCACTGCGCGAGCACTTGACTTCGGCTTGCAAGAATCAATGCCTCTGCGAACAATCGGGTAGTGGTTTATGCCCAATGACTGCGGTGACAAGAATAGCCGAACTCTAACAATGCCTGGAGCATAGCACGCGTCCTCTACTTTGCCAGCAGCGCGTGGCTATGATTAATGTTGGCTGCATAAGATAGGCATCAGGCCCCGTGGCCGCTTTTTCTGGCTTCAAGTTAAGGGAATTAAAGATGCTCATATTTCTCAATTTCTTTTTGGAAATAGCTATTGGCTAGAATAAAAAACTAAGGCATGTTTATTGAGTTAATTATGTTAGAGAGCAATTCTATGTGGTGTTTAGTGCAAGTAAAAAAAATAGTTTTATGACTCCTACAAAAAAACGGACATGTAAAAGAAAAAAAACATTTTTCATGCTAGGCATTAGAATGGTGTATCAGACATCACCAAAAAATAGTTTCTCTAGAGTCGTGCAGTTTTTCCATAGAAACCAGAAATATGAAGTCCTAATCAAAGTGCCCGCCAGTTTAACTGAATCTTTCTTTTCTACAGTCACTCGTGGAGAAGACCAAAATAACAAAAATAAAACTAAAGTCTTTGGTGCGGTCGCGGAGGACATGTGAAGTGAAACTCGCGTGACTTCCGGCGAACCCACTTTTAGTGACGTCGGTCGATTCCTTCCTTCTGACCGCCCCGACATTTTGTGGTGCAATGTTAGGTCACACTGAACTGGCGGGCGTTTTGAATTGGACTTCATATTTTCATAATAATAAAAATAAGAACTGCACAACTCTAGAGTGACACAAATGTTTGGGGATGTTCTGACACACAATTTAGCACCTAGCATGTAAAACATTTTTTTTCCCGTGTCAGAGGCTTTTTAAGGGCGGGGACTTGTAGCGAGGACAGAATGAGCTAGTACAGCTTAAAGGGGCCCTGCAATCACATTTAAGCGTCTACCTTTTTTGCGGTTTCCACGTCTCTTGGGGTTTGGGCAAGTCAGCGGGCACGGACAGAGTAACTAAATATCAGTGCATCATGTTTTAACCGGACGACACGGAAACACCTCCTCCACCAACGGGGGCGACCCGCGGTACCGGAAGCACGCGATATGTGACGTCTTTGGTGCTGGGCTTACTACTGGTCAGAGCCGCTAAAAGCTTCTTTTTAGTCGAAATACAAAATATAAGTGGCGCAAATTATTTGATTTACTTATAAAAGTAGTTTTTGTTCAGTATTTTAGATCAGAAAAGAAACAAGAGCAGTTTATAAAGTACGGAAACAAGAAATGACCCGACGACATACCCGCCACCAAGCGGTGGAAAAGGAGGCGCATACTAGAAAGGAGTAGTGGGATCAGGCACCGACACGGAAAAGTCCCGGATGTACACGGCGGTGCTGCGGTTGTATGGACTGGAGGATCCGACCGGCTTTGAGTGCTCCGAATGCCTTCGGCGAGCAGCTTTGTCTTGCGGTTTGGCCGTTTCGCGGTATGGCAGCGCGAAGTGTCTCCCATTCTGAACTGACCTTCACCCCGTGTTTGCCATCGTTTGTGGCCAATGAAGTGTCATGCCGAATTATTTTTTAATTGCGCAGCAAATGTAATGAAAGCTACTCTGGCTGCCCACTGCTGCGTACAGTCTATCCAGAACATGCTTTAGTAGCGCCCTCTCGCGCCGTCGACACAGAGTGCGGCAGCCGTGAGCGCTCGCTGAGCTCACTCAGCCCATCCTCTAGTTCACAGCCACTCAAGCAACCAAGGACGTCATGAAGGTGGTTATTTTTTGCTTGTTTTTGTCATTTTACTTTGCCTATATCTTTTCAAATAAAGCGAAATTCGAGTAAAAAAAGTTTCATTAAGTTACTCCGTTCAGTGCGCTCAGGTTCGGTGCAAATTAAAAACCAGTAAAAACGTCCTTGCAGGGCCCCTTAAACAAGCTGGCCGAAGCGATAACAATCCCACGTGGGCCATCCCTGGCACGATAGGCCATTGGGAGCAAGATGAGGATTACCGGCCATGATTTTACGCAGATGCAAGGGAAGATTTGCAGCATCAATAAGCCGCACACTAACAGTGCATCTTGGGCTAACAGATTTTGTTGGTGCACTGCTGCCCTACTCTGGTTGACCGTCCTTCACTACCTTAGCACTGACTTGTATTTGTGCTTGCCTCTCCAGGAAAGCAAAGCCCCCAAACCATTTTTTGGTTTATTTTGTTTAGGGTAACTCGTCCTAGACCTGTTGCACAGGTGTCCTGATGGCACCTGACACCTAGCCACCCCCAAAATTGAAGAAATAATAGTGGTTCGTTGCAACTTCGATCCAGACAGCTTATGATGCCACAAGCACTGCATGTGGGATTTTTAGTGCTCTAGTCAGCGCTCCCCTGTACAAACTCAGACCGCCGTCCCTTAACACACCGATACTTTATCAAGTTCTCAAAACACCATATTAAACACAACTAAAAACCGGTTTTTCGTGTAAGGCCCATTAAAATAATAGGCATTAAAGAAATTTAGTTCTCGGCCCAAGAAGCAGCCTGAGAGTGCCCCGGATCCCAGAATAACACCGTAATCTTCCTCACTATAAAGTATTCTGCTAGGCTACCATCATCATGGCAACAAGGAGTTTGCCAAATGTATGCACGCAGGAGCCAAGCGTCCAAAGCCTCCAACCATTAAAGGCACTGTTATACTCCAACAAAACAGACGGGGGAGCGCATGTGGCATGGGGACGTTGCGTTGGTGAAAGCCAGCCACTCCAGAGTCCAAAGCCTTGACGCAGCCGACACGACTGGCAGCATTCGGCGTGCATGGGCGACGCCAGCACAGAATGCGAGTGGAGCCATCTCGCGCCGGCCGCGCCAAAACCACAGGATCAACCTCCCAGCATGCATTGTGTGCGCGCTCGCCAAAGGCCAGACACCGGCGCTTCGTAGGAACAAAAAATGTGGACGCTCGAGGTAGCATGCGCATGCGCCTGGTAGCAACGCGCCATAGGAAAAGTTGGAGTGTAGACAGAAGAGGTTTCTGGCTTGCACGGTGCAACCAGCATGATGGAACAGACTTTAGACAGTGCTCGCTTGCGCGCGCCATACGTCAAAATATAACAGCGCCTTAACACCCTTTGTTCGACCACCGTCTGAGGAAAACGAAGTGGTGATTATAGCAGACGGCGGTTGCCTCGGATGGAAGCAATCAAATCGGCTGCCAGCGTTCTCTCTTAGTTTTCACTTCATACAGTAGCCTAGCTCCGGACCTTTGGCGGTTTTGACGAGGCTAGACACAAGCTCAAGGCTGTGATCATATTAGACTCCCCGAGTAGAGCGTAGCAAAGCAGGGGGCAACCGAGCGTAGCGCAGCCTGTCAGAGAGCCATGCTTATAGACCGACACACTGTTTACATACAAGCCCGCATTTGCCCAGACCAGGTGTGGGCACTGTGCGAGCGCAGAAACCAGATTCGCGTGAGCTGAAGCTTCTGTGCATGTGCCGTGGCGACAACAGCACCACCGCAGAGGCATGACATCAGAGCCACATGTTGGTCTATAGAATGAACCATGGCCACCAGATTCTCCAAGCAAGGCAAACCAGCAACCAAAGTTGACAAGCGGTGATTTCAGCAAAAGAACAGCTGGGAAAATAGTGCCAGCATGCGTCCATTCAAGTAGCGATCCATTGCCATGGTGACGGTGACTATAGCAGAAGGTCACGACAGTGTTCGAAGATTGGGTGCATGGTTAGGTCCTCTTGCAATGCATTTTGAAAGGGCAAAAAGTTAACAAAAAGAGGTCAAAAAGGATCTAGAGCAAGGGGCTGGTGTTCTACGGCACCTAATAATCTTGTGCACCTCACACAAAAAGCATACATTTTTATGCTCCGATGGTTAGTTTTTTTGTTTTTTTTTTCTTTTTCACTTGTAACATGAGCGTAAAGTATCAATTGGTTGGCCCCTGTACATCAAATGTCTGCTGCATGCCTGGTCGTTTACTGCAACACCACAAAGAATTAGAATGGTATCCGACTTGAGGAACTCGTGGCACCAGAGGAAAGCTTCTGTCAGGTTTTAATTCCCGCCCTTTTCCGATTAACATAGATTAAACATAGCTATTGTTCACATTGCCCTGTAGTCACTACATGTAAAATATCCCACGTTAGCAGGTGTCCGGCTCGAGTTAACTTGCACAAGCAGAGCCTTACTTACCATCAACTACATCTCTTTGTGAAGTCACATAGTCCACAATGGCTTTTAGTCTCGCATTTTCCTCCTGGAGGTGATCGATGTCACTCTTGAGGGATTTCTTCTCTTGCTCTAGTGCAGCACAGTTCTCACAATAATCCACCTGAAAAAATAAAAAATAATCTTCACATAAGGTGTCTCACGCGCGGCTTAGAAGTAGTGCATTCTGGGAGCAGCGCCATCTGTGTGTATGCGATAGCCCACACCGCCCAGCAGTTCATCCGGTGAGACCCCGCACAAGGAACGGACGCTCTACACAGCTGCAGTGTTACGGTGCAGTGTATAGCTGCAGCACTATAACAGTGTTATTTTCGGTAAGCGGTTCTTTACTGTTGGGCTCTTATGGCGGACAGTGAATGGGAATACGGACGCTACGAGGAAAAGGTTGAAATCTGTGGTGTGGATTCGTTCGGTCCACCGCCAAAAGATCTCATCCTAGACAGCAAGCCGCAGCCGTGAGTGAAAATGACAGACATCCAGGTTTACGTCACCCCAAGGACAAATTTTGTCGCTCGCACAAGCCCTTTAAATGCCTGTAACCACAAGTGGACGGGTCCAGGAGTCAATGAAAGCAGTGAATGCAGGGTGCGCGATTGTAGTCTCGCAGGTGAGGCAGGCTTATGATGCCCCCCCGACTCTGGAATATGTGCACATCTTTGCTCGACTTACTTTTAGAAGGTTAATCGTTCCCTTTATGGGGCACTAAAGTGCATTTTGAGATTCTCTTTTTATGGTCATAACTCAATCTATGAGCTCTAAGCAGCCTAAGAAACTCGAAATTACATTCATGCGCGGTCAATTTGCATATTAAAAAAGCGGTAAAAGGTCCCGACACTTACCGTTGGCACAGAATGACAGATTGCGCTACCAAACCTTGCTAAATATGGTCGAACGACAAACGGCGCACGTCGGTCACTCGCAAGCGATGGGTTCCCGCGTGGACGAGCGGGACTGGTCGGCCACTCGTCAACTTGTCGCTTGCAAGTGGCTGACGAGCGCCGGTCGACTATGTACAAGAAGGTTCAGTAGCGCCATCTGTCATTCTGCAGCAACGGTAAGTGTTGCAAACTTTTATTACTTTTTAATATGCAAATTGGCCACGCATGAATGTAATTTCGGGTTTTTTAGGATGCTCAGAGCTTGAAGATTGAGTTATGACCTTAAAACGAGGATCTCAAAACACACTTTAGTGCCTCTCTAAGAACCGTGCAGCACTGAGTAGCATGATACACTCAACTCCTCGTGGAATATGTCATGCAGCTGTTTTTATCACCGCCAGCCAAAGAGAGCTTGGAGATAGCTATGACTCAAAAGAAAACATGCTTATGAATGGGATCATCTCCATGCTGGTTTGCTACTGCTCCTCCGGTAAAAAGCTTGCATACAGGTATCTTAGTTATCCTTAATCACGACTGAACTTGACTAGCAAGACAGGCCTAGCCCGCTGTTGAAGCATGTGAAATACAATTAATGTCTGCCAAAAGCAAACTACGCCGATGCAGGCCCAAAAACAGAAAACAGAGCACACTCTGTAGTTGGACATATCAGAGAAGCATTCACATTCTAGAAGTAAATCATCAGATGTCAACCTCCCCTGCGAGACGACGATTGCGCTCTCCGCACTCACTGCTTTCACTGACAACTCCTGAACCCATCCACTAGAGGTTACGACCGTTTAAAAGAATTGCAGGCACGGGACAAAACCTGTCCTTACAATCAGGTAAATTTGGGTGTCAGTCATTTTCACCTGCGGCCGCAGCTTGCTGTCTTAGACGAGATATTTCGGCGGTTTACCAGACGGATTGATGCTGCAGATCCATCTACTCGTAGTGTCTGCATTCCAGTCTGCTGTCCACCTTAAGGGCCCAGCGGTGAAGGACTTCTTACCGAAAACAACATTGTCATGTTGCCGCAACTATACAACTATTCGCAACTCCAACGCCCTATAGGTGGCGAGGCGGTAGTTCCAAGATGGCGGAAAGACGGGGATAGATTTTCCAGGATATCCCGTGCGCCTGATCGCCGACGCTGTTCAGCGCGCTAAAATTTACCCATTTGTCCACAAATGCAAAGCGGTTAGGGAAGCGGTCAGGGTGACGGAGATGCCGATGCACGTTAGGAAAAGGAGCATGCTGTTATTTAGAAGTTGCAGAAACTTCAAATTGCGAAGCTTTGAGGTGAGCAAGCGCATTTTAGCACTGGCCACGTTACTGTTTCTGGCCGAATATTTTTGAGGGTGATGAAGATATGTTTGCGCTTTGCCTGGCAATTAGTGCTCTAAAAAGAGAGCCGTGCACGGTGACCGTCAAGCTTCGGAAGAGCAGCGTTCACAGCATTGGTGTCTTCGCATCACAGCCTCACAACTCGCAACTCACCGTCCCTGTTTTTGTGTATTGCAACACGTAATCAAACTGCTCTATTGTTATTGATAGAAAGCTTGTTACGTGCGGTGTAGCATTACAACCGTAAGCTCGCGCTGCGTCTTTAAATTTTCAGTGCACGCCAAAAACGTTGCCGTGCTCATCACTCTAAAAAAAAAATGTTGTAGTCCGTACACTTCTTGTTATATATACCACATTCCAAAACTTCAGTTCGCCGTGCAGACCTCCGACGTCAAACTGATGGCCCCAACTTTTACGAGAGGCTTGATGGTGGCGCAATATGATATTAAACAGGTAAAGTATGCATCAAAGAATACCAAAAAAAAAAAGACATTGAGGTTTTGCAGTAAAGCCTAAAAAACCTGATTACATTTTTTTTTTATGGTCATTTACACTTACTTAAGCTATTTTAATAAGTTGCACAACTCGCCATTAAGCCGCTTGTGAAAGTTGGTAGCACCGGTTGAACGTCAGTGCGCTGTACGTCCAACTGAAGTTTAGGGGTGTTGTACGCTATGCAAAAAATGCCTATTAACATAATCGGCGTGTTTAGGGGTTTTATTTATTGCTCTATCAAAAATAAATATTTTAATATACCATACATTTTTCGTACCGTGTTATTGGCAACATTGCGGGCCCTCTGCCCAAAACTGCGCGTTCTAAGCTCTCCTCACAAACGGCTGGCCAACACAGACGCGCTTGAAATTCTTCGAGCATTTCTTTATTTGCTTTGTAATTACCTGAAAGCAAGTACAGGTATTCTGTCTTTTTAAAGTGCTTGGAATAAATGGTCATGTTCCTTGTAACGGTCTTAAAACGCAAACCCATTCCCGATGTGTATTGATCGATATACCGTTGCGCGACGAGTTTTCTCCTACTTATGGCAAAGAATAGACTATTCATATACCTTACTATAAAGTTCTTCATTATTAGCGGTAGCGTTTTCCGTCACGCTGAACACAGACTGAGCTGGCGGCCATGCACAAGACCAGAAATCCGCAGCGTATGCGATACACGAAAGGTCCCTAATGAAATTAGACATCCCGGTCCTTCGTGCAAGGCTGTTGCAAGGCGGAGCACGAGAATACCTTTTTCAACGCGCTCACTATTTTCGTTAAAAGGGCTTCACGCATCAAGGCCGACAGTCCCTGCCACCATTTCCGCGCCGCCACCACCGCTGCCGTCCCCGCTCCTCTGGTTCTCCGTTCGTCCGCGGGAGAGCGAGCGGCGCACTGGAGTTGCGAATATGCACCGCAGCTGCGTAGAGCGTCCATCGCTCGTGCGGGGTGTCACAGGAAGAATCGCCAAACAGTGGGGCTGCACGGCGGCGTAGCTGTCTGCCATCGCAGACACAAAGATGGTGCAGTTCCCAGAACACACCTCTCCTAAACCGCACCTGAATACACCCTACAGATAAATTGTTCCAAAAATTAACTTGCCCCGCTGATTCGCTAGCCCGCCCTTCTGTCTTTTTAACCATAAATCTTGATGTGGAGCAACTACAGCAAATTAAAAAGCACATTATTTTGCTTACATATATAGAATGTTCACTTTGGGGAATTCAAGCATACGTCCAGAATGACATGCAGGTACTATCGGGTTCGAATGAAAAGCAAACAGCGGAGTTGCATGGCCGTCAACACATGCGGCACCTCCTGGAGGCCTTTGGAAACTGATAAAACTGTGGGGTGGAGAGCAGCACGGTGCAAGGGGGTGCGTCGTAATCCAGTGTGTTTGACCCTCGCCCAGCACTACCCAAGCTTCGACGCTGCTCAGCCACTCTCCTTGGCTCGGCACGAGCCACGCTACGAAGCTTGCTGCTTGCAGCAGGAGCAAGCTGCTTGCTGCGCGCGAGTGTCAGCGGAACATGATTGCGGCATTATGCTCCCTCCGAACTTGTGCAGAATTTTTTTTTTTTCTTACACAGTGGGGTTGAGGCATTTGCTTTTGTCGACTGCAGCATTTGTGTTCGCTATCTGTTCATTATTTTTTTTTTGTACAGAGGCTCTCTGGCAATATACATGCTATTTTCCATCCACGCTGTTTCACTATTTTGCAGCAGCCATGCACTCGCAGTCCTTCACAAGGACATCTGCATGGTTGTGATAACTGCTGTTAATCAAGCTCCCCAGGTCTTCGCTGCACAAACAAACTGCCAGCAAAATGTGACTTGTCAATGATAACGTTACTGAACTTTGCTAAAACGTTTTGTGAATGCAGAAGCTGGTGTACCTGAATTTTTCCAATACCAGCGCCACACGCTGGGAGCCGATATATAAAAGTTTGCCAAGTAATTGACTTCATTTAGATGTCAACAGCCATGTTAGGTTCCCTCTTGTTCTCCTGCCTCAAGTGTTGTACAGTTTTTGCTATACTGTTCACAAGGAAATCACAACGCACATTACAGCAAAACAATATACTGCACAAGTTACGAGAGAGCAGGACGCTGCGGTCATGCTCCACAAACACACACGTTGTAGGAGACTAGCGTGGAAGACGGAGTGGAGGGCACGTGACAGGCGGTCGGCCGAGAAGACACGAGCTGGCGCCAGACAGAGCGTGCCGATCGAGGCTGGGGCAGGGCAGGGCAGGAATGACGGGGCCGGTCTGGCTGGTCTGCCCCATGGCAACCCCGGAGCGGTCCACAAGCGAGGTTCCGACTAGGACCGGTGGGAACGGCGAGCCCTGGCCATACCAACCTGGGCCATGACGATCCCGGTGTGTTCACAGCGGCGCGGTGAGACTCGGGCCATGATAGCCCAGAACAGCTGGCCAATCCAGCCCTGGCGTGGGAAAGACGATTCGCAGGCCTGGACACGGACTCCGACTGCGAGCTCTGAACTAAGGGCAACAACAAGGGTCAACGGACCCGGACTGCCGGCTCTGAACGATGGGCAATAAGGAAGTACAGTAAACCCATTCGCTGTCATCTCATTGTCTCGTGTCACTCCCTGGGAGATGAACGAAGTGAATACCGATAGGGAGCGATTCTTATAGAGCGAGATCACAAAAAGAAGACTACAACTGGCGCATCCAATGTGGGGCCCAGTCGGTATGTCTCTGCTTCTAGTCGTCTTCAGGAAGTCCCACGGATTCGTTGAGCGGGTTGTCCACTAACGCTGACGATGCCCGTTAGACAAAGTCTGTTGGAATTTTGGCAACTTGTCACACAGGAGAGCTCAGCAGGTGTCTCCTCGTGTCAAAACCGAAAGGACACGAAAAACGAGGTTGAGGACGCACTCTCTCCAGCACCCCAAAATAGTGGTTGGGAGGAGGTGATACAACCGGGGTGGTGGCGAGGAGCATTGGTAAGATGTAAGAAAGTTGTCTTCGGAGGCAGAGGAGTGGCACCGCATGTTTGCTGGAAGACAGGATAACGACTGGCAGGAGGGGAAACAGCCAGAACTCGTAGCAGAAGCAGTTGACACCGGAAAAGCTGGCAGGCGAATTAATGAGTACTACAATTTGTATTTGCTGGGCCAAGACGGCTTTTTGCTTCGCGTCATCCCAACAATCAACGATGGGCAGAGGAACACTTCTCCCTTCAGGTGGGTCGTTCCTAAAAAGCTAAGAAGGAGATTTATAGAATACTTTTCTGACTTCACTCTGGCCGGTCGTGGCAGTGACAGCAAGACTTTTCCTTAGTTATGTCGCGCCATGACCTTGTCAGGGATGAGGCGGTAGACATTTAGGTGGGCTTGTAGCTGTCCAGCTTGCCTTAAGGCGCAAACGGTTCAAGCGGGCTTGCTTGCTGAGCTGCCGCCCCCTCCAAGGACCGATCAGTTCCTAGAGCTCGTTGCACGTAGAAGGAATGGGACACTGACATATATCGCGGTCAAGCAAGACGAAGAAGAGGCTCGAAAAGAGCATTCGCGCACCCGCGATAGCGGTCACACTCCGATTCGAAAACGCCATGAGCAATGGCGTTTTGTATTTTAAATCTGCGTTTATTTACACTATGTACAGTTCAAGTCGGAAAGAAGCGAGCCATTGCTCATGGCGTTTTGGAATCGGAGTGTGACCAGACGGGCGCGCACGTGCTCTTCTTGAGCCTCGTCTTCGTCTCACTTGACCGCGATAGATATCAGACGCAGATGCTTACATCGAGTCGCACGCGGTATACGCGGCCGTTGTGGAGTGCAGGTAGGCAGTGGCGACACGAGGGTCAGCAGCACGCGGGGCGGTAGCCCGCCGCGACCCCCCCCCCCCCCCCCCTCCGCTCTCGCGTGGCCCGCCGCGACACCCCCGAGCGCGGCACCCGGGGTGGTCCGCCCCCCCCCCCCCCCCCCCCCTTGTAACGCCACTGCAGGTAGGGTATATGGCAATCCCACCTCGGGCTTTGGATTCCTTCGCTTGTGCAACAGATGGACTTGGTTTACACCATCATTACCTAGTCCTGAAGGAAACTCACCCTCTGAGCAAGGCAGCTAGTGGTTTTGCCGCATCGCTAGTTACGAGTTGAGGGGGCCCGAATGCGGTAAAGACGCGAGCGTCGTGTCTTACTTCTAGACTTACTCGGCGAGATTCAAACGAGGAGTCTGGCCCGGTTCGCATCGCTGACTTGAAGGGATACTACCGTCACAATGGGGAAGATGATTAACATGAGGTTGTGGCAGGACACAGGAAATCCCGTTCCTGGCGACCCAGGAGCGAGCTCCGGGATGCAGACTCGCCGAGTTAGCCGCACGGTACACGAACCCGTCGGCAAGCAATTTTGCAGTGGAGGCTATGGCCACTACCACAATCTGCGGCAGAGTATTTGTTCGTTTCGTGTTGTTTCAACACTTTGTTCTGTGCAGAATGGCTTCTTGGAAAGACGGCCATAGACCTCGCCACCCAGGAAGTCCACCGCAAGGAAACACGGGCCCATTCGTTTTCCCGAGTGCTCAGGGTGGCTGACACTTGTTCGGCCTGACGAACGATTCAAGCAGGCAGTTCTACGCTTGCAGCGACCTCTAAGCTATGACGGAAGTTCCAGCGCATCACCGGCACAGCATTGAAGCTTGGGTTGTGCTGAGTAAGGGTCAAACCCATTGGAGTGGGGAGCCCACCAATGCAGCGCCCTACCCTCCAACACGCAGTTTTACCTGTCTTATCAGTCTACAGAAGCCTACAGGAGGTGCAGCATGTATCATTGGCCACACACTCTGCTGTTTGTAGTTCATTCGAACCTGATAGTACCCAAGAATAGCACTGTGCACACTGGGAATTTTTGTATGGTTCGTTACAGCCACAGACCTTCCCTATACTTCGTTTCAGCTTAAGCCCAGAAGCAGCCAAAGCTACAATCACGAGCATGTGGCCCTGAACAGTGCTTGTACAGGACAAGCGCGCATGCTTGGCAGCGACGCTGAAAGCCAGGAGCTTGCGCTTGTAGCATCGGCTGCATCTGGACTTAAGCTGAAATGAAGTATAGTTCTCGACCTGGGATAATTGAAACTGAAATTACCAGTGCTTAAGTTACAAAATGATAGTTGCATCTTGAAAAAAAGAAACGCTATTCTTGTTGATTTCATTCTTTTTTTTTTTTTTTTAGACAACAATAAATTAGGAAGCCGCGCTTATATCCTCCGTCCCTCTCTCTTTCTGGTGGGACTCGGAACCCGTTAACATCAAAGCAAATATCTGACGGATATGAGTGACGTGCATACGTACTACCTGGTCACCGGCTCCATTGCAAGCTCCTTTGATCATTAGCTTGCATTTCTTTTCCATCTGCGCGGGGCTACCTGTTCAAAGAGAAAAAAAAAATGAAATTGAAGGCTAACAAATTATGAGGATTACAACTTAATTTAGTAAAGAAACGGAGCGAACTTACCGATAGCCACGATCCTCGCTGGGTGTTTTTCTCCCTCCCACCTGACTTGTACTTCTTTGTTGAATATATTCGAATCCCTCGAATTTTGCAAAATTAATGCGCCTATTTTAGTATCTACCAAGTCCCTTAGGCTAACTACATCATACACGCGAGTCCTTCCGGTATTTACCCACCTAACTAAAAGGTGGCTCATTTTTGCAAACAGCAAGTGCCGCCAAGAATGACCGAGATGAAAGATGATAAATTGACAAAAGACAAGGTACACACGTGCAAACAAAAACACTCCTGGATTGGATTGGATCGTTGGACGGTTAGACAAGAATGTTTGACACCAGTGTTGGCAGACGGTAACTTTTTTTTAGAGCATCGTGCGCTCTCCTTTAACACAAAAATGGCAATATATTGCTAATTTCTTTTTTTCGCTCTCTTAGAGCATATTAAAAATGTCAACTGTTGTAGCCGCTTAAAATGTATAGATTAGAAATGCCAGGTGTCTGTCAGTACGCGTTTAAACTATTCGAAGTGATCCTTTGCTCCGCCGTTCTGCAGTGTGCAGAAAGGAAGAAAAAAAAGAGTAGTTTGCTGTAGTTTGCACCCTGTAGTTTCCACCTCGGAGGTAGGAACAGAACCTGAACGACAGAGGAGTGGTCGTCCTTCTGTTTCTGTACTTTATAGCGTAAACGCTTCGGAGTGTCGTTTCATCGACAAACGTTTTATCGAAGCACGTTTCCCCGACAACCTTTCATCACGTGAAATGCCTCGAAGACTAACGAATATTTCTCGACGAACTGATGATTGCAACAGCGTGTACCTTAACGTATAAATAAATATCTATCGATCTATCTGAACCTCACACGGAAAAAGCTGAAAGGCAAATCGGCCAGCCACGGGAAATGCACAGGTGGCTTTGTAACACACCTGTACACAGTACATCATATGGCTCTGCAGCTTTCCGGTCCTTGTTTGGAAAATAAATTAAGTCACGAACCGCGTGAGTTAAACACAATCAAGGTAGAATTGCTGGAGCCGTTAGAGAGTAGGCCTAGCGAGGTGTGTACAAGCAATTGTACACACCTCGCACATTGGTACGAGTACACACTGGCCACACCAATGAACCAAGAGTTAACTCTTGGTTCATTGGTGTGGCCAGTACATACATGGGGAGGCATTCACTTGATCGATTAACGTTTTAGCGAACGCCCCCGTTTCACGGAATGACACTGAGGACCAGTGGCCCAGTTCTGAGCTCCGTGCCCCTTAACGTACCTGCCGAGCTCGTGAGCACATGAATGCATGCAGTACAGCTAGGACTTCAGGCGTCCTCCTCCACAGCGTGCGCTCGCGCTTGTAGTTTCAATCCCAATCAGAGCACGTAGACAGGAAAGCTTCTTAGAAGTAAGCCTGTTTCACGTGCTGCAATTGTTTCCCCAAATCGTTGCGATTTTTGCCACTCTGCGACTAAAAGCACAGTTGCACCGTCGCAGCGGCCCTGCTACTGGTTACGATCGCTTGAAATGTCTCAGGCTTTGTTCAAGAAACTTTTGATCAACAAAATTGCAAAGCAATCGCTCGTGGGATGTCTTTCTCACCGACAATCGCCAAACAACGAACTAATCGCCGTGTCGGCTGTCCCGATTTTTTTCGCACAGTTCCTGCAGTCGCTGTGCGTGAAACAGCCTCCAGCGTTCATCACTGTGTTTCGCATGCGATTTTCTGGCCGGCCCCTGTCGGAAGCGTGCGTTGGCTAGACTTCCTTTAAGTTCGGCGTCAATTTTTCATGAACAACGTTGTCAAGGCTGCACAAGAAAGCAAAAGTGTGCATCTTGTTCCGTCAACCCCCGCATAAGGTTTGTTAACTCGCTACTGCGTGGTTTACATTAGCAACCGCATGCAAGAGTTCATACTCAGCACCGGGAAAGTGCCTTATCCACAACGTGAACTCGTGCACCAGTAAAATGTTTAATTCACAACGTGAACCACTTGCAGATCTGGCTAGATCAACATACCCAGCCAAAGCACTGCAAATGTATTGCTTTCGACATCTTGTAAACCCTGAGACGGGGAACGATAAAAAAACGGACGTTTTTTTATCGTTCCCCATCTCAGGGTTTACAAGACGTCGATTGATTACCAGCTCGCCTGCACTCTCTCACTGCTTAAAAAGTATTGCTTTGTTTGATTCTACCGTGTTCATTTTAGATAGTGAACGTTCAACATAATGTCGGCCTGAATCCGTGCGAGTTCTACCACCAACATTTCGCAGCGCCACTTGTGAAAACTGCAGGGGCGCTGCTCCACCAAAGCAGTTCAAAGAATTGCCGCTACATGCAATAAAGGCGGCGCTTTCATCCGTCAGAGACGCGGGACGTCAGGAGCGGGTGTCCGGATTGTCCAAAGAGGCGTCTAGTTTACTACCCAGCTCTTTTGCGAGCCAGAACACGTGCTCCGCAGCGCAGCGTCTCGCAGCACGTTGTGATAACAGTGATGTGTTGACAGCAGGCACGGCAGGCATGTTTTGAGACCGTTTAAAGTAAATAATGTCCACGTTAGGTTGCGCGGACGCATTGCACCTGCAGCTTCAATTTGAATAGATCGGCTGGGATCCTCGACGTCGTCGGCGTTTCCGTTGTCGGCGTGCACAAAAGTGAGTGCTCTTTTTTCGCTGGGGGTGTTGTACGCAGCGATTTGGCGAGCGACGAGGCAAGCGACGACGACTCGCTTGAAGGATGAATTGCATGTAAGCGATATAGCGAGTGACGAGACGAGCGAAGGTGACAGCGACGAGCGACGGAGTTCTCACGGTCGCTTGTCGCGTCCCTCGGTTTTTGGATTTCTAGAAATCGTCGCTCATCGCTCTGGTCGCTTACTCCCGTCGCTTTCATACGGTTTGCCTCGTCGCGCGAGTGACCGACCGACCGACAATGAACCGCATGAAAACGACGGGAGCGATGAGCGACGTTTTCTAGAAATAAAAAAAAACAGCGACGCGATGGGTGACAGTGAGAAATCTCCGTCGCTTGTCGCTGACGACTCTCGTCACTGTCGCCGTCGCTTGTCTTGTCGCTTGCTAAATCGCTTACATGCGGTTCGGCCTTAATGCTATACGCACTACGCCATGCATCTCGACCGGAAATGGCTATACGCACGACGCGAAACTTGTTGGGTCTCGTATTAAACGAATTGTCAGAAGAAGTGTTTTGTAGCTGTAGCGTAGCGTAGTGGAAAGGAGTCTTCTATATACACGTTCGAGCCAGAGTGGGTTTACTTTTTTTCCCTTCTTTTCTAACTTTTTTTTTTTTTTGTCGAGCATTTGGCGATATTGATGACGTTTCTTTATTGCAATTATCATTGAAAGAGGGAAAAAGAACATTGTCGACGAAACTTTGCTGAACTAAATGGTATGGGACTCCCTTTCCGGAGGTGCAGTGGGGGACAGTGGTACTATGGTGCCTGGAGCGCGTCTCTGACTGGTGTGTTCAGCGTCCTGTGCTGCCCATACATCAAAAGTGGTCCCAAAGTGGCAACAAATAACGTCACAGGACCCGGAGTGTCATGCTGTCGGAGGTCGTGATCCTGGCGGTTGGCTGAAGAAATGCTGGCAAAAAGCATGAGCGAACGCGAGTGTCGCTGTCGTCGCGGTGTCCCAACTTCTGGCTGCTGGCGCTTCCATGGATTGCCACCCTGGAGTGCGACCTGCAGAACAGGCGTCTGCCACATACGCCAGAGCTATTGGGACGCCACCAGGATCGCGACTGGCGGCAGCATGACACTTCTATGATGTCACTAGGCGAAAATGGAGGGACCAGTTTTTTTGGGCGGGGTAAACACTCCAGTCGGAGACGCGTTCCAGGCACCAAAGCGGAACTTCGGTTGTCAGCTGGACGCCTCCAAGCGGCGTGTTCGAGGGGGGCCAAGTGGGTTTATAGTTTTGTAATGAGCAGCCGCAGGCTGTCGCCGCGGAGCGGTGTGAATGCGGGCAAGAGGACACATGATATCCGAAAAGGGTGACCCAAATGGCATGAGCTCTCCGTGCTGTCGTGCATATAGCAACTTCTGGTGGAGCTGCACTACATAGTGCATATCGCATTGCTCTTGAAGCGTTAGCTGCGTTCGATTGACCTATACCTCCTGCACCGCTGCAGAAAAGTGTAGGGCAGTCTACTTCCGGCATGTGTATTCAGTCTACTTCCGGCATCTGTATTCAGATGTGGCCGGAAGTACACCGCCCTACACTTTTCTGCACCTGTGCAGGAGGTGTAAGTAAATCGAACGCAGCTAATGTTTTTGAGCGTGTGGGCTGGTCTTTCATATGTATGATTCTTGTGTGCATTCATTATGTGCAAATAACCCTGATTTTTGTTTTAGATGGACCAGGCGGGGGCGTACAAGATGTACCTCCAATCTGACACTGGTAGTGTCCCCAGGCGTTCAGCACATCGCTACAAACAGCAGCATCTGGTGCTGAATGACTCGGCCAGGTAATTATTTTCTATCTGTACATATATGCAAAGACATGGTGTCACAGCCACAGGGAAAAATGTATGGAAAATTGTAGGCAATTGTTGGGCAGTTATGTGAAACATATTGCCACAACTGCCAGTCAGGTGTCCTTATAGACACATCCCGAAATTACTCCCTCTTCAAGCAGAGTTGGAAATGCTGCACAGCTCTGTCTGCAAAAGACGCTAAAAATGGAAAGCCGATCGCTTAAATATAGTTCACTTTTTCTTGTTCAAAATTGTACAAAAGAAGGCAACTCAATGATACATTAGCCTTGCCGCACCTCTTTGGTAGCTGCCCATCCCTGCGGCGGAGCTTGTACTTCCCCACATGAGGGTGTAGGCAGCATTATACAATAGCTTTGCCACCTTGATGGTGTCTTTCACACACATTACTGTGCAGGGTTTCTAGATTTGCTTAAAGAGGGTGTAATTTTGGGATAGGGTCATTTCTAAGCATCAGGATTGAAAGCTGAGCTAGTTGGTACCGGTTCATGATAAAGTAAAAAGTGCACAAGAAAAAAACAGAGCAAAAAAGAGGACACATACTGGGCAACTTTCCCAGCAATTTCGGTGTTGCTGGCGAGTTCCCTAGCTTTCCCTGGTGCAACACGAATTCCTCAGATTGCGTCTGGCTTGAAATGGACGAGCGACTCGGAGAACTTGGAGAAGTTTGAAGCGAGAGCAGCCAATCAGGGATGCAGTATTTTTGCGTGAAAGTCTATACCGGTGGTGATGACAAGTAAAGACTTCGTTAGTGTTTGGAGTCA